CAGCCACATTAAACTCTGGATTATCCCAGAAAGCAGCAAGATAAGATAACACAGCCAAAGCAGAAACCCAGAAATAGCCAGACCCATCAGGGAAGCTTGGAGAAGAAGGTGTCATGCCATCAGGACCGGTGACTCCAGAGGCTGTGAAGCGCAGGGGGCCACAGCTCCTCAGAAGATGCAAGGCTGTGTGGCATGGTGGTGTGTGAGTGAGCCCATGCTAGTTCAGCATCAGTCATCTCGGGGGTATCTTTACCCACAATACACTTAATCCCAGACAATCTAGAGATGACTAAAGCTACTTATTGTTGGGCTGTGAAAACTCACTCTGCACATTTGCACTAGCATTGACCTTTCTGTCCACTGAGTCATTTTTAACTCTTATTCTTGCATGCAAAGCCAGGCAGAGCTCTGCTCCTAGGTTTCCCCTTCCTCATCCCTCCATAACACTTATTTCGCAGCTCTTCTTCCCTCCCTTGTCCTTGTGCCTATGCTGAGCTACTTTTCAGCACAGTAAAATCAAGACAACATGTAATAAATACACAGGATTCCAGTAGTTTAATACTTCCCAAAGCTTACTACTTCTTTACTGTGTTCAAACATTGATACTCTTCTTGCTACATTACTCTATAGGACAAAATGATGCTCAGCTGGTAGTCCCAAATTGGCAGCTCAAATATATGTCTAGTTAAATACTTAGAGAACTGAATTGCTTCTTAGATGCTCCATCAGGTTTTTTATGTATCTAGTGATATAGAAGGGTTTAGGGGACAAATTTACAGAAATATTTTTGAAAACCACAATCAGTATTTATATTTGAAGTACTTAACATCTTGCAATTATCATCATCCTGTAGTTTTCCTTAGGCTCCTTGCCTCTCTTCTCTGGTTTATCACGTCTCTCCTTAAGGTGCCAAAATGACCACTAACATCTGAAAAGACTAAACAGACATGATACCCCTTCTACTGGTGTTTAATTGTTTACAGAAATGCACTTTTTTTTTTGACGCTGTTTGTCAGAATGTCTGATTTCTATGCATGTGGGAGGCTTACCTGTTGCGATATCTATATGTCTGCATTACAACCTGGTAGTTGCTGTCATGGTCTGTGGCTCATGCCTTTGGTTTACCAGTCTGCCTTTCTATTTGCTTATCAGGCTAGTGACACACTGATATGCTCTATTACAAAAGTTGCAAATTCCTTTCAGCGGGTCCTTGAAAACATACTCAGCGGTTTTATTTCCATTCATAGCTTTCCAATTCTATTACATTTTTCCTCTCCAAGTTCCTCAAAGGTAGGAGAATTCTTCTGAAGGATCTGGAAAAGGGTATTTTGATGGAGACTAATCACTAGTAGTCCAATAATCTCCGGCTGAAAAATTTAGCAGGGTGACCAACATTACAACAAATCAGCCTGAATTAGTGGGCATTCTGTTGTTTAACAAAAAGGACAATGAGTCAAAAAGAGTTTCTTTTACCTGAAAACGGAACTGCAATTGCTCCTAGGATACTTCATACCGCTGGCTTAAAAATGAGAAACTGTTGCCTGGACCATTTGCATCTTGGCACACAATCTCTAGTTCATTGTGATTCTAAACAGTGTACAGGATCCATAAGCATGCTTAGTCAGCCTGGCCAGCCACCTGAGAGCCATGAGCAATGTCCCCTTTATGACTGCTCACTTCTACTTAAAGAGAAAAGATAAAAAAGGCAAGGAAACCCATTCCTCTTGACTCCCAGACACAGGATTGCTGCTGAGATCTTCCTTTAATCTGGAAGCAGCCAGACCACCAGCCTCTCTGAAAGCAGATGCACCTCCAGAAGCAGAAAGCAATGGCTTATGAAGGGTAAAATACCCTCTGGCCTCCTGTAATTTCAGATCTGATACAGAAGTAGTGGTTGAAATATCCAGCATTTTGCTAAAGGTCAGATCAGATAAGGAGATTACAACCTTTCTGACTTTACATACTGAAACCTTAACAAGACTGAAAGCCTAAGAGGGAAACCAAGGAAGAAGAGCTCTGGGAGCTGTTGGCAAGTATCAGACAGTGGTGGGTCCTCACAGGTGCTCTCCACTCTCTGGGTGCAGCAGGCCAGGCTCTGAGCTACAGCCCTCTACTTTCTGTACGAAAAAATGGGTATCTCTGGTAACCAAAACAGTTAAGTGATCGGGGGAAGAGATGGCAGGATGGAGTTATCCTTTCAAGGCCAGCCTCAGAAGAGCTTGCATCCCCAGTGAAATCCCACTACAGACATAACACTATGCTGCGCTGACAGGCCTTCCCTGGCTCAGCTGCTGGGGGCAGCCTGGAGAACATGAATTTTGCAAAAGGAACAGGGCAGCCTGAATGTTGAATTACTTTTCCTGGAATACAGGTCCCAGCCAATGCACTCCTTACGACCGTTTTTAGCTCATCCTATCTGCCTCCCAGGCAGAACATCAGAAAAGTGAGATTTGTGGCTGCACTGCTGCTGCCTGGACCGACTGACAGCTGATGAGTAAGCAAGTCGTTTTGGGATGAAACGGGGTAAGCAGGGGTCTGCTTTATTGGCTGCTGTAAGCAATAGCTCCCGTGTAAGGCAATAATCCATGGCTGAAGTCAGAGGTTGTTGTGTTAAGCAATGCAATTTCCACTTAGGCTGATATCCTTAATGGTGAATGCCTCATGTGAGCCATGTTTTCAGGCTCTAGCCCCAACTGGTGGTCTAAACAGTCTACTTAATTTTCCTTATCATCTGGAAGTGAGTGGTGCCCTATCCTTCCCTGACCCTGGGAAGGGGAAGATATTTGCTTGTGGAAGGAGCTCCTTGCCTGGATTCTGCTGGAGAGATAACCCTGTGTTCAAACACCGATGAGAAAAACAGAGATTGCCGACTGTTTTCTTAGGCTGGGGTATGTCTTGCCTGAAATGGTCTTATGGCTTTCTCTTTTAAGCACGGCTGCACAGGCTATCTCCTCTCTTACTTGCAGCCATCTAGCATTCCTGCCAAAAGCACAGTGAAAAACAGCAATAAGCAAGTAACTAACTCTTAGTTTAGTTTTTAAGGTAGTTTTGTTGCTGAAAACCAGGGGAAGAGAAAATGCTATGTGGCTACTCTACTGTCAACCTAATCTGTGACCTGTATGTTAGGAGCCAGAGCATTTGCTGGTAATTCCTTTTAACAAGAGCTGCTACAAGACTGTTTCTGCGTGTTAACTAATGTCTTCTCAGATTTTGTCCCAAGTATTCTCAACAAACAGCACTGCAAGATGGAATGGCTACAGCAAAGCTAGCATGTTATGATGTAACTTGTTATTTTGAACACTTGGTACAGTAATTGTTAGCAATGACTATTACTCTTGAGTTGCCCCTGCATTAATACTTTACATGTACTGTGCTTCTTTCTCTGAAATTCTTCAAAACTGGTGAAATAACATTCAATGAGAAATACCATTTAGCAGCTCCTTACAAGTTCTCATCAAATCCTGTTGATTTTTCTGAGTTTTTCTGAGTTGGATTAGCCTTGTACTTCTAAGTGCTCTTAGGAAACAAACTTGGCAAAGAGGGCTGGATGAGCATCCAGGATGATGTGATCAAGCAGAAAGTGCAAAATCTGGACAAACCAAACTATGACTTTTGATGAGCAGTATCACATTTGGAGGCAGAAGTGCATGGGTCAACTTTGTGCACAAAGACTCAACAAGCAAAGGAGGGAATGTTTTTGCTAGGCTTCTAGCAAGATTTCTTTTCACTGCAAGGAAATCATGCTAGATATCTCTGTACGAAGCCAACGAACAAACCCAGCCAGTTTATTCAAGCATTTGGCTGTGCATTTGATGGTTATTATTGCTTTCCATTTTGTACATGAAACCACTTCTAACGCTATAAGAAGGTGAATGCTTCACATACACCTGTAGTGGCCCTTTTTGCTGACGTGGAAGTGAAGTAGCACAAAGGCAGGAACCACTTCTCTTCAGCATTGCAAGTCTGAACAAAGGGGTAGTGTATGTGCACTGCTTTTAAAGGAAAAACTTCCAGCACATCTGTGATAATCAGGTGGTTTAAACTGCTGAGTTCGGTTTGGTTGACGAGAAGTCCAACATGACCCAGCAATGCGCAGGGTCACATCCTGGGCTGCATCAAAAGCACTGTGGCCAGCAGGTCGAGTGAGGTGATTCTCCCTCTTTACTCTGCTCTCCGGAGACCTTATGAGAAGCTGGAGTGCTTTGTCCTATTCTGCGGTCCCCAGTATAAGAACGACACGGACCTGCTGGAGCAAGACCAGAGGAGGGCCACGAAGATGATCAGAGGGCTTGAGCATTTCCCATGTGAAGATGGGCTGAGAGAGTTGGGGCTGTTCAGCCTCTGAGGAGACCTTATAGCAGTTCTCCAGTACCTAAAGGGGTCTACAAGAAAGCTGGAGAGGGACTTTTGACAAGGCATCTAGTGATAGGACAAGGGGGAATGGCTTTAATCTGAAAGACAGTAGATTTCAATTAAATGTTAGCAAGAGATTCTTCACTGTGAGGGTGGTGAGGCACTGAAACAGGTTGCCCAAAGAGGCTGTGGATGCTCCATCCCTGGAAGTGTTCAAGGCCAGGCTGAATGGCACTCTGAGCAACCTGGTCTTGCAGAATGTGTACCTGCCCTTGGCAGGGGTGTTGGAACTAGACAACCTTTAAGGTCCCTTTCAACCCAAAGCATTCTATGATTCTGTGCAAATGATCTGAGCCACTCTACCTGGCTGTGACCCAAAGATTACTGTGGGCAGTGTGTGAGTACCCATTAGGGTTTGAGTTCTAAGACAAACCATGAAAAATTTCTGTGTGCATCTACAGTAACAGCTAATGATTATTTTTCCTTTGAACTTTGTCCAAAGTTCATCTCCAAAACAAACTTTAGGCTGTGTGTATTGACTTCTCAGCAGAATAAACATGCCAAATCTCTAAAAACATTTAAATCACTCATTCTAGCTTCATTTAACTTGCTTGTTATCCAGGAAGAGAAAAAAACAGTGAAATACATTGGCTTTACTCAGTTATTTATTTCTCTGGTGTGTCTATCAAAAAAATCTGAAGGAAAAAAGCAACTCTGGTCTTATAGTTTTCAGAGTAAGCCGACTCCCCTTCTTGCTTCAAACTCTAACTGAAGGTAAAATCAAAATCCAGGCTGTCTTGGCTGTAACACACAGCCTCTATAGCTTGAAGGGCTGGTAGTAAAAGTTTACATGGAGGGGGGAAAATCAGAGTTTTGGGGCTGGGATTTTCAGAGTGTTTAAGAATTGGTTATGGACTCAAGACTGGAGGGGTGAGGAGGGAGGTGGCTGGACGGTGCCCCAGCCCCAGGAGAAATCACAGTAAACTACAAGCAGATCTGACAGTAATAGACCTTGTCCCAGGATTACTTGATCTGTTCAAAAGCTGTAGAAGTAAAGTAGAAAGAAGTATAAAAAGCAAATATATATTCATTAGAAGCTGTGTAATATCTTAATTATACTAACCATAACACTTCTTGACAGTGTTGGACACATGAAAAATCTATTGCAGTGGCTGCTAGATTTTTGGTAGTCCTGTCCACGTGCCCTTCCTTACCTGTTATTCCATGAACTGTGTACCTATTGGTAACTATTTCACAAGCACTCTGATATATTCTCTGTGTTTTTCTTTTTTTAGTTCTCCATCAGCCCTGCTGTTCAGTATCATACCTGGCTTGAAAAAAAAAAAAAAGAGAAAGAAAAAAAAAGAGGGTGTAGGAGAGATTGTCTCAAAAAGAAAAAGCCAAACAAAGTGACATTAAAAAAAAGGCATTTTTGGATTACTCTATTTGCTTTGTACCTTTTCCTTTTTGTTCCTTTAAGGTTTGTGTCTCTAAGGTCACATCCACAAAACCACAGGCTAGAAACTTCATTAAAAAAAAAAAACAAACCTGAATTTCTTGCATAATTGTATGAGTCCAGGAGCTACAGCTTTAAGAAGGGCACTAAATGTTGTAAAGTTCACAATTAAATCACACAGAATTGGCAACCACCTGATGGAAAAGAACGAGGAAAATAACAGTAACTAAATAAACAATGGCCCCATATTTTTTTACGGTTGAGAGGAAACCTTGCTGTAAACGCTCACTCACATTGAGCCCACTAGAATCCTCCAGATGATAAAACTGTGCGTTACTGCCCAATTACGACAAGTCCCCGAGTTACTCATCATGACTGCTTTATGGATTTAGTTTCACAATAAAATAATGAGTTCATCGTGACTTCCTGAAGCATCTGCAGAGATAATGCAAACACTTACTTTTATTCACAACTTGTGAGCATTCTGAAGAAATAAAGTGATGAGAGAGGCTATTTAAAAAAAATGGAGTTCGCACTGCATCAAACCCGGTCTTTTTGTGAGAGCTCACGCAAAGTCCGCGGCGTCCAGAATATGTCCCACTGCTTTAGCAATGGTGGCTCCGAGATAAAGGCCAGGTTTTAAGTATTTCTGAGACTTCGGAGACTTTCAGAAGGCGGAGACGCACAGGGGCATGCCTGTAACTTAAGCCAGTGTATTGCAGATAAGGACCGACCCCGCACAGGTCAGCCGCTCGCGTTCGGGCAGCCCCCCGCAGCTCCTTGTGCCCAAGCTGGCAGCTGGGGGGACGGTGGTCCCCGAGCCGCCGCACAGGCGGGCCCGGCACCGCCCCTGGGGGCGAGGGACGGAGGGAGGGAGCGAGGAGCCCCCAAGTCACGTTTATTTGATTTTCACGCCAACGGGCACCGCAGAAACCTTTTAATCCATGGCGTGCAACTTCCTTGCTTTGAACCTGCTTATGAAAGTTTCTGACTGGCCATGGTTTTTGGTTTTGGTTCTCTTGTTTTGGTGTGTTGTTTTTTTTTTTTTTTTTCTTTTGGGAGGGGAATTAAAAAAGGAAGGAGAGATAAAAAAACAAAACAAAACAGGGAAACTGATGCGGCGCCGCTCGCACGAAAGCAAATGGCAGCATCGCCCGGCACTGGAGTAGTAAGTTAATAAATAAATAAGCCAACCCCGCTGCGCGAACGGCGAGGCGGGGGAGGGAACACCCTCCCTCCCTGCCCGGCCGCGCGGCGAGCGGGTGCGCTATTCCTGCGAATAACATGGCAGGGCCGGCGGTGCGGGGAGGGGAGGAGGGCGGCTCTTGGCCCGGACGGCCGGGCCGTGGCGCATCCGCGGCTCATCCAGGGGGATGATCATCCAGGGGGATGAGGCCGCCGCTCTCGCGCTCCTCCCGCCGCCGCTTCCTGCGCGCGCCCCCCGCCCCCCCCGCGGCCCTGTTGCATCAACTTCCTGTGCGGAGCCCCTCGCGGCGGGGCCCCACGCGCCACGGCTCCCCCCGCCCGCTTCCTGCGCGCGACGCCGCGCGCGCGCCCGCGCGCCGCCCCCGCCGAGCCCCGCGCGCCGGGCCGGGCGGGAGGGGGGAGGGAGGGGTGATGGGGGGGTGTATGGGGGGGGGGGGTCGGCAGGCGCGCGGCCCCCCCCCCCGCCCTTCGCGCTGCTCCCCCCGGTCCCCGCGCCCTCACGGCCGCCCGGTACCGGCGGTGCGGCGCCGCGCGGCCGCCCCGTGCCCGCCGCGGCCGGCGGCGCCGCTGCTCCGGCAGAGTTTGGTGCCCTACTTCACTCTACTTTAGTTTCACTCACTTTACATCCGGGCTTTTTCCCTAGGCAATGGGGGCCGCAGCACAGCCCGTTCCTTAGGCAAAGGGAAATAAATTCGCCGCACCGACACGTCAAGTAGTCCCCCCTTAGGAGAAGCCGCCGAGCCCGCCCTCCCGGCTCCCCCCCCGGCCCGGACCCGGCCGGCGGCGCCCCTCCGTGGCAGCGGGGAGGGGGGAGCGTGGGCGTGGGCGCAGCGGTCCCCGCTCCCCCTACGGGTCTCCGGCGGCGGGCCGGGCCAGGCCGGGGCGGGCGGGGGCGCGCGCGGCGGCGTGTCGGGAGCGCGCCGCAGGCAGGCAGGCAGGGAGGCCGGTGGCGGAGGGATCCCAGCGAGCGGTGCTGCGGCCGGGCCGGGTGAATGGGATTGAAGAAGAGTTCAGCTTCTCGGCTTGTTTTTGTGTCACAGTTTCTCTCCTCCTGCGCCTCTCCGGCTTCGTGCCGCCCTCCCCGCCCGCCCTCTCCTCCCCGCCGCAGGAGGAGCCCCCCGCGGAGAGGGGAAAGGAAAAGGACCCCACAGAGGCGAGAGCGAGCGAAGAGGAGGAGGAGAAGGGAGCAACCTACCATCTTCCACTCCCCGCTTAGCTTAAAGAAAGTGAGAGGAGGAGAGAGAGAGAGGCGCCCAGAAGAGGGGGACAGGGAGGCCCAGAGGAGCGGCGGCGCCGGCACCCTCCCCCTATGAAGAAGAGTCCTCCCCCTCACAGAGAGGTCCTGCCAGGGGGACCCCGGCCGGCCCGCAGCACCACCGCCGCCGCCAGCAGGGTGTAGTATCCCACCTTTCGGATTCGCCTCCTCCTCCTCCCTGCCCCCCCCCCGCCCCCCGGGCGCCGTCCCCCCTCTCCCCCCCGCGCCCCCCGGGATGGCGCCAGCGCGCCCCGCACTCTCCGGCCAACTTGGCGATGAGGAGCAGCAACTTCGCCACGGCCCCCGGCCCCTCCCTCGGGGGGGTGGCGGGGAAGAGCGGAGCGTCCCGGGGCGGCCCCCCGGCCTCCCCGGCAGAAGTTTGCGAGCGGGAGCGGGAGAGGTGGAGGAGGGTGACACTTGGGGTAAAAGGAGGAGGTGACACATTGGGGTTGGGGGGAGGAGCAGGGGAAGGAGATGACACATTGCACTGGGGATGGGGTGGGGGAGGGAGGCTTATCCCCTCCCCTCCGGTTTCCTTCAGGATGATTATTTCCAGGCCCTTTTCTCTTGGTCGGGTCCTTCGCCGCGATGCTGTCGGGGAAGTTTTATTATTATCTGGGAAATGATGCCGCTCTCGATGATGGATAATTCGTAGTAAAGCCGCTGCTGCGTTTTTGTTTTTTTTTTTTTCCTTCCCTCCTTCCTTTCATTCGTCTTTGTGGCCCGAGCAGCGCCGGGAAAATTCCGTTTCTTCAGCAACTTGTTATTCCGGAGCCGGGCCTGCCCCTCTCGCCCTGGGGCTGCCCTTCCCGCACAGGTACGGGGCCGGGGGCCGGGGGTGCCCACTCCTGCTCCGGCATTAGGTACGGACACTTCCTTATTTTTATTTTTTCCCTCCCTCCTGCGCCCGTGTAGGTGGAGTGGGGCTCTATGTGGGACTCTGCCATTTGGTGTAGTCCTCTTGTGCATGCTCCTTTCTTCACTTGCCTTTCTGCGGGATTTTTTTTTTTTGGTGGTAGTGTGTGTTTTGATTTTTTTCTGTTCTTTATTATTCCGAGCTTCGCTGTCGGTAGAGCTTTCCCCCCAACTACCTTCTGCAGTTTGGTGGGCGCTGATGGGATTGTACGATGAGGTTTTTTGGGTAAATTCGTGTTAGATTAATGCATGGAGCTCTTCATTCAACTTCTTCTCAAGTGTCAAAAAATGAGGCTATGAACAGATGTGTTTCAATATGGAGAGATTTCCAAGTTCCTAATTCTTGGGGGTGGAGGAAAGAGTGCCATTGGAGAGTGGCTTTTGTTTTCGATTGGTGAACAAATGTCATCACATTTCAGTCACGTGCTATAATATTCTTTGTTCAGCTATCAAAGTATGATATCTCCTACACCTGTTCCCACTTTTTAATTGTAAGTAACGGTGATTGCCTGCAAATCTTATAATTGTGGATAGGAGTGCTTCCCCCCTTTCTCCTCCTCCTACCCCCTTTGGATATTTGTTTGGGCCCAAGCGCTGAGCTTGACAATGAACTTTTGTTCGCTGTGGAGACTGCATGTAAAAAGGTCCCACTGGGGGTAATAACTTGGTGTGTCACGGGAAAGTTGTGTACTGTGATGTACGGCAGGTCTGAGCGTGGAGAGATCAGGTGGGGATGTGCGCTCCGTAATGGCAGGGCTCCAGTAAGGGGTAGGCTCTTTTGGGCCACGGAAATTTTCTTGTGGTGTTGCTTGTTATCAGGTTAAAGGACAGATTCTCCTGTACACCAAGACAGATACATAGATTTATAGATGGATGCATATTTTTGCTTAGCTGTAGATTTTCAGGTATCAGAAATAAGAAGGATTTTGGCTGTCTGTTTACTTTTTTTCCCCATTGTGCTCACTTCTAACAATGAAGACACCTGCTTAGTTTCAGTTTTGTAAGTCAGCTTCCTCTGGCTTTCCTGTCCTTCGCCGGGTTAGTTGGTGGGGCTGGATCTGCTACATAGCAGGGGAATTTTTAACTTTGATAAAGATGGGCTTATTTCGGGGCTTAATTTGTGAAAAAAATAACATTCTTTTCAAAGCCTTAGGAAAAAAACCCAACCCTTAAAAATATAAAATTCATTATTTCTACCAGGTTAAATGCTAAAACGTTTATGTTAAGCTTGTTAGTGATCATGTATGATATAACTTTATAGGTTATATTAAATAGTGATATTAAATTACTACTGAGAACAGGATCTTGAAAAAAGAAACAAAAAATATGCATAGCTACTCATATTAGTTAAAGAAGTTAACTACCACACTTAAGTAGAAAGATCACAGACTTTGAGAATTTTATTCATATCTGTGCATGCTTCAAGATAGCTAAATGAAACTGCCTCTTTGGGGGCACTTTTTATTATTGTTTCCTAGAAAGGAATTCTGTAGCTCAATTAATGAGACTTTAAAACTGTATTTTAAAAAAATGATGTGATTCTTCCATGTTTTTAAACCTTTCAACTTTACTGTGGTAGAGAAATTAGATTATTTTATGATGGTTACATCAGCTAGGAGTTTGAGCTCATACAGAGGGATTATGAAGCAACTTCTTTATCCATTGATTTCATGTTGCATAGTAGCATGTGTAGAGTGTCTCTTCAAGGTCCTAAGAGACCCGTTGTCTAGCAGAAGGTAGGTGCTTGCTCAGTGAGAGTACTTGCCACCAGCTGGATGTCACCTATGTCATGTCCCCGCTTTTTAGCTGTACTGGCCCGAGTGACAAGAAACTTGGAGTGGATCCCATGGTGGATTTTGTTGATTTTTCATTTAACTAGCAAAGCTAATGTGTATAATTCAAAATGTTGTGTTGAGGAGTATTTTGTTATTAATAATTATTTTGCCATTAGTTATTGTAAGATTTCTGCAGGAAAGTTTTTAATCTTTGCTCTTCTCTATGTGCTCCCTGAACTGGATTTGTTATGAATTGGAAGAAGGCATTTGAAAGTGGTTTTCTTTCTTTAGGGAATGAAAATAAAAAACTTTTCTTTCAAAGAACTTAAAGCAAAATGAGGAAATTAAAACTTATGTTGCTCAGAAAAAAAAAAAGTGCTGTTGTGTTTTCCGGCTTCAACGGTGAAATCTCTGCTTTGATTTTAGGTTTTGTAACCCTAAGCCGTTCAGCTTCAGCTGTGCTTCAAGAATTGGGCCTAAATAGTTCTTACTTCAACTTCTCTTTTTTTTTAGAGATGACGTTTTCTATGTGCCTGTTCAACTTAGAAATTGTGGTTCAAAAAAATAGTTAAAAATGTCTTGGAGTGGATCTGTACAAGGGATACAATTTTCATGCACTTTTTGTTTGTTTGTTTTTGAAAATAAAATGTGTTTTATTGACTCCTTAGAAAGTTGTAAAATTCCGTGTTCAGTTGGAAAGCTTTGATAGTGAGCCTGGCTATCACTTGGGTTGCTCATGCAGTTTGTTTATAATGAACACATGTAGCTGTTCAGTTCCTTTATACTTATTCTCAGAGCCCTGAAGAACTTTATTTGGTCAAATGAATTGATACTGGAAATTGTTTACAATGGAGATTTCACTTTCGTTTTAGTCCAGTTTGAAGGAACCTTGATGGACTATCTTATTTCATATGTTATTCGCTTTTTTTGTGGATACCAGAAACTCAAGATGACTATCATGTGAGAAACACATGTTGGTGACTTAGTCTTTTTTACTATTGTTTCTGGTTTGTTGGTTTTGCTTGTTTAAAATCCTCCAGAAAGAACTTCATAGCTGTGATAGGGCTTTGCTTTTTGAGGGACCATCATACAGGGATGTGAACTGTAAAGCCTCTCCTTCGAGAGAGGCTTCTTGTGTAGAAGGAGCAGTGCTAAAAACCTATTATTAAGCTTCTAATAGTATTTCCTCACTGTCCCCTTCACCCTTTATGCTCACAACTGTGCAGTCACATGCGTAGCTGTATACTAGAAGTGTAAGACTCTACAAAAGGCCTGGCTCCTGTATGTTCGTGAATTGCCCTTGTTCAATTACTCTGTGCCAGAAAGCAGCTCACATCCTGTTTCTGATGTATTTTAACAGCACAAAGGTTATTTAGGAACAAACCATATACTGGAAAGGTGGGGCAGAGCACAGAAGGGTTTTGAGATGTCTGCTGAATGCAAGGGGCTAGATACTTACTTCTTTACCATGTAAATAGAGGGTATAAAAGGATAGTTTTTATAGGTATCTTACATTAATATTTCATGTTCAGTATAGCACAAAGCCAGTGTTTGGCTTATGCTGGTGGTAGAGAGATGCATTATGCAGGCAAAAAAGAATTTTATTTACATTTGGCGGGGGGTAACTTTGTGTTTTCTTATTTCCTTTTTTTTTTTTTCCTTATTGCAAGTACAGTCTCATTTAAAAAAGAAAAGCCCTTTTGTTTCTTTTGAAAGTTTTAAATAATTTGTGGCTCCTGCACCGTACCAAGTTCTCACTGGACTCCTCACTTTTATGATTTTGAGTTTGTTTGATTCTACTTTTGTTATGTCAAAACCTTACAAAAGTGAAATGGCAAGTATAGCTCATAGAATGGCTGTAAAATATATAGAAATCGAGAGTTTTTAAAATGTATTTAGTGATGAGGAAAGGCGCACTCACATGGCAGTCAGATTTTGCAGTTAGAATTGTCTGTTCCTAAAATAATTTTTGTAGCTGTAGAAAGTTCTGGCAGGACCCTTCCTTTGGTCTGAGAGGATTGACCCATCTACTGTCCTAACAAAGCCTCCAGTTTACCACAGAGTCTTTTGTTTTAATACTTTGATCATGCCAGGTTTTGAGGAAGAGTGCTACTTGATATAGGCTTCTCTGCAACATTTATTTTCTGATTACTGTTTATATCATTTTAATATCTCTGATGGAATTATCAAGTACCTCGTGCCTTAAAAACTCTTTGCCTATAAGGTTTGACCTATTATTCGTTCCCTCATGCCTGAGATTTCTTCTTCACTGTTAATACAAGTACTCACTCCTGGATTAGAAGAGATTGGATGCTCAAAGCATGCTTTAAAAAACCTCACACCAGAAAACAAATGTTTTGCCCCCACCCCCGCTAGACCCCCAGCCCCTGCCTAATGTTTGTTGTTACTGGTGGGAATGCATTTTTAAGTGGTATGCAGAGGAGAGGGACTCTGCTTCGTGTGATCTCAGTCCTAGGCCACGCTCACATAGCTTCTATGCTTCTTAATTTCTTGAAATGTTTGTTTTCTTATTCTGCCCCTCCACCTGACAGTACTGCACTTGTAGTCAAAAGAGAAAGTTTGCTTGATACAGAAGTTATGATGGCTGCCTCTGAATTGAGGGACTATCTTTGCAAGTGTAATTAGAAATAGGTTTTGAAAATGTAGTCTGTGTTTCTTGAATTGCAGTATAGATATGTCAGTGGTTAAAACAAACAAGGGCAGATTTGAGCCTGTGACTCTTAAGATGGCCTGTGCCTGGACTCAGTCTCCAGGCCTGCGAGAGAACTCCAGCAGAGCAGCCAAGCTTTCGGTGGTTTGGTTTCCTTGTTTCTGCCTGTGAAATACAAGCTGTCAGTAGGAAAGGGAGAAGGAACATTGATTCCTGCCCTTGTTCCTCTTCAACACTGCAGATCCAAGCGTTGTTAACCATGTGGATCCCAAAGGCAGTGTAGTTGCAAACAGTTAATTGAGGAGATCAAGTGGTATCCTATTGAAGCTTTTAATTGTTTTAACAAAACTTCTGAGGAATCGCAATAATTATTTTCTGATAAGCTGGCTGATAGTAACTATGGCAACAGCTGTCTTTGGCCTATGGACGGCATTGCTGTGTTGACAAAACCTTTAGATGCTCCTGAGGCCTCTTGCCTCAGTAGGGAAGTGCATCAGGATGA